GTTTTGATTATATTACAATAATGAGGTCTATGGTTTGCTTTGAAACATTTTAAAGAATAAAAAACTTTTTGTCGTAAGCCTCTCAAACAAACATCGCAATAAACTATTGGAACACAAATCAAGGAGTGCATAGATCTACTGTACACTGGGGATTTTTCTTCCACGCGCTTCTGTCTTTTTTTGGTCGCATTCGGCCCATTTCGTTTATCGCGAACGTTTTGAATTCGCAATTTTTATCTCCCAGTGCCGTGTAAATATTAATAAATAGGTTCAAATTCAGTAGCGACCCCTTTAACGTTTTGCGAACGATTTACGTTCGCAGTATTTTGTTCTTTCTTTCTTTCTTTCTTTCTTTTTTTCCCTTTCTTTTATATATATTTTTTGGAATAGCGAACAGCGTGAATTCAAGTAGCGCGCGAAATAAAAGACAAACAACCCCAGGTTGTAGAGTCGATCTGTACTTTACGGTACAGCTATCTGTCAAATCAGCAGCTGTCATTGTGCAACGATCACTGTCGGCATCCACGAAGGTACACGATCACCTGGGAAGTCAGAGCAGGAGCTTGGCGAGGAGTATGGTAACCCATACAAGGCATTGTTGACGTTTTTCCTGTCATGTTCTTCTTTATCTTTTGTTTGTTTTGGAAAGAGTTTTGCGGTACTTGCAATCTAACGACCTATAAGGTCATAAGAGCCAAAACGATTAAAAGTTTTACATGAGAGGAACAAACAGGAAAAAAGAAAGAGGGGAGATAAGGACGATAAAAGTTTGATGGGAAAGAAGAAGCAAAACACACTAGAGCACCCACCAACCACCCATATTTGTTTTTCTTTGTAGTACATGTACGTTAATCGTAAGGGAATGGAAGCGAAACACGCCATCTAATACAGAAAACATTCAGAGGAGAGGAAAACGTTAAATAATCGATGATCTGTGTGGATGAGGCAGTGAGGGGAAACAAGGGATAAAGACAAAGCCAAAACTACGAGGGTGTCTGTTCAATTTTATTAGGTGCTCACTTTAATTAAGCAAAAAGCTGGAAACCCAGAAAACGTTTTGGGACCTTTTTTCTTTGTTTTATTATAAGTACTGAAAATCTAAATCTTTTTCAAAAGAAAGATATTAATCGAAATGAAAATAGAAATTAAGATGAAGCCAAGTGGGTTAGTATCAGCATTGTTTTATCCTCATTCTTCTTTGCTCGGGACGGGGAGCGGGGGAGAGGTAGGGGAATAATCTAAAGCAAAAACGAAAAACAAAAATGCGTTCTCCAGGTTAAAAATAATAGAGGCAGTATCCTCTATACTTCGGCTTGACTTTGATATCTTATTTTTTTGCAAAAAGGAACTCTATCTTAATGACCCTCACTATCACTTAGAAGTGCGTTACCTTTCTACACAATGTCAACTGATTTATTAGGCCAAAACATTATAATAATATTATCATCAGTGGCTAAACTGAGCGCCGTACTTTTCCCTTGCTGAAGTACAAAGTGCTCATCGTCTCCATGGCATCCATGTCTTGCCAGATTGACGTTTTCTCAGAGCCGAGCGACATCGCGGCCAGAGACACTCGGTCAAGAATGCTCGTCCAAAATGTGGACGTTTTCTAGATCCCAGAACAATCAACTAGCGCCCGGCTTCGCTGTCGTTGTCCATCATTTCTCTTACTGTGACCAGTGTTCCGAGGCCTGTGTGGATTTCAAAGAGGAATTTGTGTAGATCCCACTTCAAGCCACTTTAAAAAACAATCTGTTCCATTTTCTTGCAGAAGTGCCATAAAGTTATACTTGACAGGTCAGTATTATATTCCTTGACATTTCTATTGTGCGCTTCCCGGGATGATAAAACCTTTGTTGCTGTTTACAAAACCAGTTGTGGATTCAACCATTGGTTTTCTTTTTGGCAACTTGATTAACATATCCCTAAATGGAAATGCGCAGTATAAATGCTATTTATTATTATTATTATTATTATTAT